CTCTGCCTCCCAAGTGCTGGGATTAAAGGCGTGCGCCACCAACGCCAGGCGTGAATGGACTTCTTTAGGAATCGGATGTTAAGTAGGATACAGAGTTATCTGAGTCCACTGTTGCCCACAATTGAACATTGAAGGTGACTAATGATTTTGATGAGAATACTGGTAGTTTAGACTCTATTTCATGTTAACTAGATTTTTATTTTATGGTTCTTTTCAAGTAAAAAATATGAATTTACTCTTAGATCTGAATAATGTACTTTCAGCTCTGGGGGAAATCTACATTGCTTGGCACACTCAAAGTGAATATTATGAAGGCCACTCTATATATTACCGATTAACACTAGACTTTTTCTGACTTTATATATTAGCTTTGTCCCTCTGTTTTTCTCGACATTGATGTAGAAGCTCTATACTTAAGAACATATTTTAATTCTATGGTTAATGGTGGTATTTAAAATACCAGAGACAACTGAGTCTTCTCTGTAGAACAAAGAAATAGATCAATATGTACAGGTCTTTTTGTTATCACATCAAGTACATTTTAAAATGAATTGTCAAGCTGCTTAGTAGATTTTGGGCAGGAATTATTTTTAGCAGAATAGCATAGACTAAAAGAAGCCTCAATTTGGAGTGTCATGCTTGGAAAATTACACTAAACCTGACGCATTGCATCAGGAGAAGGACACTGAGGACTCATAGGCTTTTTTTAATTAAAAATTTTCATTTATTTTACTTCCCAATTACAGTTTCTTCTCCCACCTCTCCCCCTGTCACCTCTCCTCTACCTCTACCCCCCATCCACTCCTCCTCTGTCTCTGTTCAGAAAGGGGCAGGCCTCCCATGGGTGTCAACCAAGCATGGCACATTAAGTTGAGGCAAGACTAAGCTCATGCCCCTGCATCAAGGTTGGGTGAGGCAACCCAGCATGGAGAATAGGTTCCTAAAAGCCAGAGCTCAAGGTCCAGAGATGGGTCCAGATTCCCCCTGCTAGGAGCCCCAGAAAAAAACCAAGCTACCCAACTACCACACATATGCAAAGGGCCTGGGTTGGTCCCATATAGGTTCCCTAGTTTTTGGTCCAGAGTCTTTGAGCTCCTAGGAGCTCAGCTCAGCTCTCTCTGTGGATTCCCCAATCATGACCTCTCCCCTCCCCTGCCCCAGGCTCATACAATCCCTCTTCTCTCTCTCCAATAGGGCTCCCAGAGCTCCAGAGGGCTCATATCTTGAACCAGAAGCATGAATCAGAGAGAGCAAACAGGCAACAGTGTGTGATTTTGAAACCCCCAAATCACCCCTAGTGACATACTTTCTCATGCAAGGTCACACCTTTAAACCTACCCAAATAACACCACCAACTGGGGACCAAGTATCCAAGCATCTATGAGGGACATTTTTATTCAGATGACCACAAGTGGTATGCATGTATACCTTTCTTAGAAATGTATCATATAGCCATTGAAGAAAGTTCAAAATAATCAGAGAAAACAAAAAACCAACCACAATATTCTAAGAAGGCGCAAATATGTCACTGACATATCTTCTTGGGAAAATAATTGATGAACTAATAAATATGATTAAGCTCTTCCCCTGCCTTTCCTATCTTCAGAGACAATGGAAAGAACTATACATAGTCCTCAAGGATAGCTGAAATGAGTGACGGAAAGAGAAGGCCTATGTTCTATGACAGGACTCTGAGCTCCCAAATCTGGCCCAGTGAGAAGCCAAAGTGTTCCATTATTTGCATTGAAGAGGCTATTGTGTTGTAAATCCATCAAGTGAACCCCAGAGCCATGGAGGTTGTTATTACAAGCAATAAAAGCAGTAATTCTTGGTGAAACTGCATGGAGTGCCTCATACTTTACTATGCAACATGGAGAAAGCCAAAGAAAATAAAAATGATTTTTGTTGTTTTTACTTTCGACAGTTTCATACTTATAGACAATGTATTGTGATTATATCCAGCCCCTATTACCCTCTGTTTTCTCTCTTCCTTTCCCTATGAACTTTTCATTTTCTCAAGTAGTTCTAATGTCTACACCAATGAGGAAATTGATACCCCCTCTTCTCATGGCCAACATTAACAGCCAACAGCTCCTCAAAAAGGGATAGGGCCTCATGGGCACCTCCTGTATCCATGATGAAAAGTTGAAGGCCCTAATCTTTTGCCACATCCATCACTGTGTGATTTTAATAGCCCTATATTGTACCTAGATGATGGTTTTTCATGGGACTCCTTCCTATCCTCCAGGTTTTACGTTCCTTTCATCCTTCTTTACATGATGTTTTCTGGGCTTTGGGAATAAATTTTTGACTGTCTAGCACTGTAATTGTTGTCATTCTGTTGTCTCTCTCTATTTCTTGACTTTAATGTCATTGGGTTTTGAGTGAGTCAATTTAGAGTTCCTCTAATCAAGGCTTTCATATACCTGGCACTGTTTCTACAAAAATCCCTCATTGGCTACCCAGGGAAGACCTTGAGAGTTGATCATGATATTTTGCTCAGATGATGGCAAATTTTGTTAGCACAGCATTCTAAAAATTTCACAGCAATCAGAATTCAGTTCTCAGGGCATGCTACCCTTTTTTAGTTCATTTCATTTTAAAGTTTGGGAAGCAGTATACAACAGAGGGTTATTTAACTTGCTGTTGTCAAGATAGTGACAAGACAAATAATCTGCTCTTCTATTACTACTTCCTTTCATGTTTCTAAAATGTCATCTGTAACACATTTAGTGCTTATATGTTGTACTTTATTGGCTTAAAAATAACACATTGGATTTTTATACTTAACAACAATGCACACCTATTGAAAATGCTTTGGTTATTAGTGGGTGATAGATAACTACTCAAAATAAAACCCTTCAGTGATATCTAAAGAATGAAAGTCATAACTCATCATGTGTCTTTGGCTTGGTTGAGGAGGTCTGTTGAGAGGGTTAAGATACAGTTGAGTCTGTTCCACATGTCTTATTGTTCCTGGACTAGCAGAAACATTTCAATTAGTTTTTCTCACAGAGGTGACATTATAACCATAAATGTTCAAATCCTGGCTTTGGGGGATGCCTGTTGATAGCCTACTATACAAAGAAGGTGGTATTGCCAAGCTTGGAAGCAAGACACGCAAATGTATACAGTTTCTGTAATGTGGACAAAAAGTTTCAGCAAAAACTGGTTGTAGATGGGAGGAAAAAAAAAACAGAGCAAATGATACAATATACCACCAGGAAAGGAAAGCATGGGATACATTAAAAACATGTAAATAACAGAAGGCACAAACTAGCTGGAAATGGGTCACTGATGCCATCTTGAAGGAGCTACATCACTTACAAGATGAAGAACTTGCTGTAGTTCATGAAGAAATGGCCAGAATATGTGTTCTTAGAAGAGATGGAAAGAAAGCCTTATCTTTTGGCTTTGACCCATTCTCAGTTTTATTGTGAGGACTTAGACACCAGCCTGTGGAATGCTGGGAGGTGACAGAAACACAGGCTGTGGGGTCTAGCGGAAGGACGCTATGCCACTGGGGACATGCCCTTGGTTATATCCGTATTCCAAGCCCTGTCTCTTTCTCTGTTTCTTAGCTGCCATGTGTCTGGCAGCTTTGCTCTACTGTTTGTTCCTTGCAGTAGCAGATTGCCTGACTATAGACCTAAAAGCAATGAATACAGCTGGCCATGGCTGACACTTGCAAAACCACTATTCAAAATAAACCTTTCCCCATTGTTTATCTTTACTTTTCTGTCAGAACAATGAAAAGTCCGCCTACACAGAAGTTCAAGGTATCAGGTGCATCTAAGGCAGCTCTGGGTGCTCTTATTCTATGAAAAGTAGACTACCATCAAATGGTGTTAAATGGAGAGGCAAAATAATGTAATTTGAATGTGACAAAGATCACTGGCCACAATGCGGAGAATCACTTATAGGGGGTAAAAAACAAATAAGAGCAGACAGAGGGAGAGCATGCAATACCAGGAGAGAGCCTATCTGATCCTACTCCTGAGGAGAGAGCTATAGGAATGAGAACCGAGACAGTGGCAAGATAGTAAGGCAGGATAAATAGGCATAGTGTCTTTTTATTACCAAATCCTCCACTTATTCTGCTTCACTATACTCTTTCAACTCTCTATTCACCCAAGGTATGTGCATAAACAGTGGCACCCTCATTTTATTTGTTAAACTTTGTACCCTTCCCTCTGCACTCTGCCTGGTTGAACTCTTACTCATCCTTTAGATCTAAGTTCTAGGATAGGATTATCCAAAAAATATTGTGATGTGTTTCTCATGATCTGCCCTTTCTGTTGTATGTGATGAATAATAACAATATCACATTTGTTCAATGATTAATTAATTGGCACCTGTGTCTGCTTACATGTGGTGGGCCACAAGAATATATTATAGAGACTCAGCTGTGTATTAAAGCTATACTTTGACTGGCCAAGGGTCTGTCAAAAGGCAAGCCATTTATTATGAACATTTGGTGTTATCCAGCTTTTAATATTTCAGCTGTCTTCTGCTATAAAATTCTTTTATGCTCAAATATTCCCAGACCATTTGGCAAACAGTTCAGCTCCTCAGATCTGCTGAGCTTCTAGGTAACTGACTCCCCCTCTGAGCCTAGGCACAAGCTGGCTGGAGACTTATAGCTTTGCTTCTTGTGCAAAGGAAGCTCAGACCATCCCCTTGCCTTGAGACCTAGTGGCTCTCCAGAGCAACTGACTGAGAACAAAAGAGGTTTTTACATATTTTACATATCAAGGTGGAAGGTAGAGCAACATTTCTGAGAAGGCAGAGAACCGCTGTGGCCAGGGGGAGAAGAAACAGGCATTTTCTGTAGAGCAGCCAGAATGGCATGATCAGGGAGAAGAGAAGAACACAGAGGTAATGTAGATGGTAAGGCAGAACTCTTGAGCCAGGAGTAGAAAGCAAGTAGAGATGGAGGGAGAAGAAACAGAGGACGAAGATGAGGTGGGAAGCACAAGAGCTTAGTTGTTTAGCGTGACTTTGAGGGAGCAGTAAAAGAGAGGACAAAGAGGAACTGAGTGTCAGGACAGAGCTCAAGCTATGGAGACAGCATTTCATCCCAGAGAAATAAAGTAGATGGATAAGGAGCTTGGCGTATCTAGATTTATTCTTGTTCTGAATGCCTGATGGAGCTGTAGCTGAATAGATGGAATTTTGTCTTAGAGGAATAAAGTTAACATAAGAGCATAGTGTACATAGATTTTTTTCCCTCAGATATCCCATGCCAGATGTAGCAGTTTCCCTGGACTCTGGGTATTCCATACCTACACAGAGATGCTGTTTGGTTATATGATGCTGTTCCTAGTTCTGAGCTCAGTGGCTGTGTGTGCCCTGGTTTTTTTAGTACACATGTTTTTAAAAATTAACAAATGAGTGCCTCTGCATAGGATGTTTGAGGGTATGCTTTCATTAGCCAAAATACTTTAGAGGAAATGAACATAAACGAACTTATACTGTAAAAGGTATTTATGCTATTGGCTCACCTGGTATGCACTGGGTAGTCACAGTCTAGTCCAACAATGGCTGTCTCAATACCAAGGAGGAGAACACAGTTAGCTACACAGTCTACAAAGTGGGTTGCCTCAGCCCTCCCAATCTGGTACTGAATGGTAGAAGGAATCTTGGAAGGACACTGGTTCTTTGGTGTACTTTGGAAGGCCCAGGCTGGGTTTCCATTTCAGTGAAGGGTTCCTATGGCAACAGCAACAGCAGCAAAAGCAGCAACAGAGTAGATGCACTTACTAGTAAGGGGTGGAGGCAAGCAGCAAAAAGTAACAGCTTTCTCTGGGAACTTTATTTCAAGTCCACAGTGGGCAGGTGCCATTCCCTCACTCAGCGTAGGGGGTGCTGCCTGTACCCTCAGGTGACCCCTTCAGGAAGCACCCTCATAGACCTTCCCAGAGGCTTGTCTTCTACTTGGTTCCAGTTCTAATCAACTTGATCACTGATATTAACTATCGCAAAAGTGGATCAATTGAAGTTTAAAGTCATCAGTTACTAGAAGTAACAATGTTTTTTGAGGTTTTTGAAGTTAGTAGTAGCCAGGATGAAATAGAAAAGACTGAAAATCAAAGTCAGGGAGAAGTTTCAGAGAGCAGGGTGGGGAAGCTGAGAGTTCACACTAAAACAATTTGGTGCTTTATAAAACGCTTTGGTACTTGCTGCGGGGACTCTTCTGTGACCTGGTGAATATGATCAATACTTGCCAAAGACTGCAGATCAAAAGTAAGACACTGAGTTGCAATAAGTATCATATTAAAATTCATAGTGCTGCGAAATGACAGGAAATCTGTTGGAGCAGAACCCAGGAAAAATTTACATTTACCCTTGGCCTTCACCTTGGTCTCATGTGTCCTCCCTCTAGTCACTGAACATAGGCCCCAAAACACCTTGGAAAAAGGTCGTTCTTGAGGCTTGAAAGTGCAAAAAGGGATTAGGCTGAACACCCTGAAGGAAGTTGGAACAGATAGCACATTGTAATACTCTGCTGTCAGCACAAAGGAAGCACAGAGAGCCATGGTGTCCCAGAGGCCAGTCATTCAAATCTGCATCAACTTTTGCATCCTTTAAAAGGTTACTGGTCTCAGTTTCAGCTGCTCTCTGCTCTGAGGATGGCACTCAGGAGACCAGGGACGATGGGAAGAAAATCTGTTTTACTCAAGGTCAGGCATCCTGAAATGATGAGGGTGGGGTTAGTACCTCAGAGCTTCATCTTAGGGAATTCAGAGGCACAAAGTTCTTTTATAGGGAGAGAAAAGAAGAGCAGAGA